TGCTTGTGGAAGAGACCTTGGTGGGCGGTGTGTGGGGAGAGGATGGGGGGCCGTTCACCGGAGCCCCTATGACCCGTACAGCAAGCATCTTGTACTTTGGTTACGCGTTACCACACTCAAGGCTGTTAAAAAATTTGGGTGTTTGGACCTCACCACCCTCCCCTCTACCCCCGAGACAATCTTACTTAACTGATTTTGATCGCTGGTGGGGCCCCGATCTCTGCATTGTTTAAGAACTCTCCCTCTGATTCCCGTACAGCAGGGGCTTGGGTGGGTGGGCAGGAGACACCAAGCAGAAGAGTCTGGATGGGGTTGGGCTGCAGGCTGGGGGCTGGGCTCCCAGCGGGCTTGGCTTCTAAGAAGAGGCAGGATAAGCCAAGCTTTGGAGATCGTGGCTGAACCCCCAGGTTCTAGGTCAGGGGAACATATTCATTTCTTGGAGCTACATGACCGCTTGCCACAAACTCTGGTTTAAAAGCAGAAATATTTTTTCTCACTTTTCTGGAGCCAGAAATCCAAAATCAAGGTGTTGCCAGGGTTAGTTCCTTCTGGAGGATCTAGGGGAGAGAACTCGCTCCAGACTTCTCTCCCTGCTTCTGAGGGCAGCTGCCAGTCCTTGGCGCTCCTTGGCTTGTGGACACATGGCTTAGACCTCTCCTCCTGTCTCCCAGGCCCCTCTCCCCGAGCGTCCTCGACTCCATGTCTCCAGTCTTGATCTCCTTTCTCCTATCAGCACACCTGATAGGACATGGGCCCTATGAGTGAGGGCCCAGCCACCATCCAGTTTGGGCTCATCTTGAGATCCTTAACTTCATTACACCTACAAAGACACTATTTCCAAATAAGGTCACATTCTCAGCTACTGGGAGCTCGACTTGGTTGTGTCTTATTGGGGGACACAGTGCCATCTGTTAAAGAGGGTAATGGACCTTGGAGTTCTCTACAAACGGCCAGCTGTTGGATGAGAAATCCCCTGACCGGGGAAGCTTGCTCAGTGGTCCCTGCATGGGGCCAGGTGCCTCCTCCTGCTTTAGAAACAGGGCCCATGAATGGGGGTGCCTAGGTGACTCAGTTTGTTGGGCGTCTGCCTTTGGCTCAGGTCACGATCTCAGAGTCCTGGGATTGAGCTCCTCATCGGGCCCCCTGCTCACGGAGAGCCTGCTTTTCCCTCTCCTTCCTGCTTGTGCTCTCTCTCTCAAATAAATAAATAAAATCCTAAAGAAAAGATAAAGAAAAGAAAAGAAAAGAAGGCTCATGAAATCACACTGTGTGATGAGAGTTAATGACCATGGGGGAGAGACCGGACTTTCAGCTTTGGAAATAAAAAACTTCAAGATTTTACACACACACACACACACACACACACACACACACACATACACCGTCTGTTTAATGAAGGTGCGAGGTGGCTGACTACGTGGGTGGCTGGAATCCGGCCAGTTTCCCCACCCCCATGACTCAGTCCTGGGAGAAGATGCTCAGAAGGAGATCATTCTTTCTGCCTGTCTCACACTTGAGCTTTATTACTCTTATCATCATCTTTATGAATCTGGTTAGCATATCATACGAAAAACGCTGCACTCACACGAGTGGCTTTGAACATCTATGAAAATCTGTACATTTTCAAGTTTTAAAGGAGACTTAAAATACTTTGTGGACAGAAAGGGAGAGAGGGGAGGCACAGCTTGAGTGGGCGTGGCTTTACTCTACTTGGGGCATGGCTGGCATTTTTATTTACAGTAAATTCTGGGAAGGCATACCCTGGCCAAGCAAAAAGCTGGATCTGAGCGTCCCAGGGTCAGAAACCATCCTGTAGTTCTCCTCTTCTGCTCTGTGATTCATGAGGAAGCTGTGACAGGTCTACAGAACCTTTGCCCACCCAAAATTGCTCTGACAATATTAGCACAGGAAATAGCCTGAATTTCAGGTGCTCTAAAAGAAAAATCCAGGGCGACACCCCCCACCCCAAACCGGAGAACATTATGGTTTTGTTTAAACACCAAAACATGTTTCCCCCAGTTTTGTTCAATGGGCTGAAGACCATCAATTTAGATAAAGTTAAAGGTTTTACAACCATTTCGTCAGAAGCTTTGGGCAGAGATGTGGACAGAGCTGCTCCGTGAAGCAGCCACTGTCCTGAGAGCAGAGAATCCAGGGAATGATGTGGTCGTGTCATAAGATGTGCTAAAAATATATTTTTTTAAGATTTTATTTATTTATTTTGCAGAAATAGATAGCAAGAGAGGGAATACAAGCAGGAAGAGTGGGAGAGGGAGAAGCAGGCTTCCCTCTGGGCAGGGAGCCCGATGCAGGGCTCGATCCCAGAACCCTGGGATCATGACCTGAGCTGAAGGCAGACGCTTAAAGACTGAGCCACCCAGGCGTCCCTAAAAAAAGTTTTTAAAATGCAAGGGTATGCAAAAGAGCTTTCCCTTCCAATACTTTCATGTGCACTTGTAGATAATGTGAATTTGATAAATATGTTAAAATTAAGGTTTTTTTCCTTATTTTGAAAGTCAACTGCGTCGGTTGTGGGGCATATCCGCAGATCAGAAAGAAATATAAGGAAGAAAATACAATCTGCAGAAATCTCATCACCGAGGTAATAATGCCTGTTTCCCTGAGGAGCTGATTTCCAGGCCCTCCCTGGTGAGCCTGCTGCTCCGAGTTCCTGTGGGTGGATTTATCAGCTCCCACCGGGCTCCTCCGGCTCCTTCGCTGACTCTTATCATCGGCTCCCAGACCTTGTTCCCTTTTCTGCACCATCACGGCTGGTCATGCCGAGCGCAGTGTCAGCCTAGAGCCCTTTCCTGCCAATTCCCACTGGACCAGACCTGTTTTCTTTGCCCGGGAAGACAATTCTCACCCTAACTTGTCAATTTCGATTTCTAAATGTAAATGTCATCAAAGGAATTTTATCTGGGATCGCTGACTACAGGGATGGTTGAAAGGGTGGATGCGGGATGTGGGCCAGGTGACGTCACAGCTGGACAGCAGCCTCAGGAATTCGGGGCGGACCCTGGTCCTGGCGTCCATGCCTTGCCGTGGCCAGACCAGCCCCATGGGCCCCTTTCAGGCCATAAGCATGCCAATTGCTCCCTGATTTCTGCAGAATGTATTTCGACTCCTGACACACCTCAACAAAGCCCAGAGGCTGCAGGAAACAAAAACAAAACCAAAGCCCGCCCACCGGCAGCCTGCTCCTCCGGCCTCGCCCTGCGACCCTGTAACCATATTGGCTGAATCACATCCGGAATGGAGGCAAAATCAAATCTGTTCTTTGGTTCTGCTGTTTGGGTAGAGACTTTCTCAAGTGGACAGGAAAGAAGTCTCTTACCCTCAGGGAATTCAAGGGAATGTTTCTTGGCAAATGAGTTTTTCAGATCAGCAGTTGGTTGAAAAGGAAATCGTTTAGTGGTCTGAAGGGAGATAATGGCTCCAGGGAGTCCTGCTTCTACGTGGCCCATTAGAAAACCTCTTCCATGGTAGGAAACCCAGAGGTTGGGATGTTGGGGATTGAGTGTGGGGGCACAGACCTTGAGGTCCCATCTCTGGGGGCCCCTGTGCATGCCTGTCCTGGGCTCTGGGTTGGAGCCCCATCTGTCCCCAGGGTCCCTGGACAGCGGCAGGAGTGGCTCCAGCAGACTGTCCTTCGCCATCATGCAGAGCTGCAGAAAAGCACCCGCTCTCTCTGGGTCTGCCTGGCTCCCAGATTGCAATAAAGTCCTCATAACACAGAACCCACTGTTTCAACCATTTTAGAGTATTGAGTTCAGCAGCATTTAGATTATTCACAGTGTTGTCAACTGTCACCTCTATTTAGTATTTAGTTCCAGAACATTTTTGTTGCCCCAATGGCAACTTCCAGCTTCCCTCCAGGCTCTGGCAATCACTGATCTGCTTTTTGTCTCTACAGGTTTGCTCTCATGGAAATGGAGCCATACGGCAGGTGGGCTTCTGTGGCTGGCTTCTTTCACTCAGCGTCATGTTTTCAAGGTTCCTTCATGTTAGAGCGTGCATCATTTCTTCTTATGGCCAGATAATATGCCATTGCATGGATAGGACAGATTTGTGTCCCCTGGTTGTCTCTTTTAAAGAGCAAGGAAGGTCTTTCCTGAATCCTCCATCTCATTGACCAGACCTGCATCCGAGGCTAGGATCACAATAAGCAGGGTGATGAGACCCTGGGTTCTCTTCCCCTTCATGTTTGGAGGAGGGCCCCTTCCCTGGGCTCTCTGAATAAACGGGAACTCTGCCGAAGAGCATGGGTGTGGGGAAGGCTGCGGAGAGGCAGTCCACACTGCCTACTATGGTGTCCACCTCCTAAACTGTGACTTATGTCCCAGATTTATAGCCAGGCAAATGAAACAGGCAATTAAATGGAAATCTGGTGAAGGCCCAAGAAGATAGATATTTACCAAATAGGATATCATGTCTCCTCTTTGGGGACAAAATTTACAAGAGAGAGTTTTCTAAAACTAGGCTTCATTACTCCTGAGCTCTTGTCTAGGTTTAAGGTACAAAGGGATCAGATGGAGGAAGAGAAACATGTGGCAAGGTTACTTTGAAGAGAACTGCTGTGTTTTATGAGTGTCTTCTACCTTCATCGCACCTGCCATCCTCTTGCTTTAAGTGGGGAGGGAACAGCCCACCCACAGTGATGGAAGCACATCCAAACCGTGTTCTGTGCAGCTGGAAGGATCTGATGCTTGGGGGTTTTGGCCAAGAAAGCCCAGGGAGTATGTGGCAGTAAGAGAGGCCAGGCTGGGACTGATGGCAGGACGAGGGAGGCAGACACCACGTGTGACCAGGGGTGGGCCATCCTGAAGAGAGAACTGTGTGACTCACCCTGGTCCTATCCAAGAGGACACTCAGAAGGGTGCCGGCAGTGTGGTGAATGTCAGATGCCAGGGGCTGAGAGAAGAATGGACATAGAGGACTGCCTACAAGCTGGATGCATCCCCCTGGGTCATGGCCACTGCAGGAGGGAGAAGCCCAGAGAGTCAGCTGCAGGTGAGGATGGATCCAGCAAAGGCAGAGTCACCCTCAATGCTTGAGGAATTCTGCATAGGGTAAGTCCTTTCTTGGCATGCTTTCCGTTTTAGACATTCTTCTTTTTAAAGATTTTACTCATTTATTTGAAAGACGGAAAGAGAGAAAAAGAAAGCACAAGCAGGGGAAGGGGCAGCAGGAGAAGCAGGGTCTCCTTCAGCCCAGAGTCTGATGCGGGCTTGAACCCAGGACCCTGAGATCATCCTGAGATGAAGGCAGATGCTTCACTGACTGAGCCACCCAGCTGCCCTTTTGTTTTAAACATTCTAACCTGCAAAAGGTACTGTGATCTGTGGGTGGCCCTGACTGGGGACGACTGGTCAACCCCCCTTTAAATACTAATATTTCACTCATGTGTCTTTAGACCAAGCGTCTAATGGGATTTTTTTCTCCTCTCAGTATCTCAATGTCCAACCAAGCCTGGTGCATAAGTAGGCAAGTTTGAGAGACATTTCGGAAGTGACTAAAGTGGTCCTCTCATTGTTACCAGCGAGGGTTATTACCAGTGAGGAGGCAAAGGCCCAGAGAGCACGTGCGGCTGCCTCTTGTTCATGCAGCTCAGCAGCTCCTGGGCTCATGCAGGAACTGAGGCCTTCTGCTTCCCAACTGAGCACTCCCTTACTTCCCAAAATAACTGTGTAAAGGAAGTAAATATAATTAGGCTGTTGAGTAAAAATTATACCAATATGCATAATTGTGACCTTCTACTTGGGATATCAAAAAAACACATCAGATGTGTTTTGTTATGGGATGAGAGAACAGCAATCAGCCCATCCTCTTCTCTCAAAGATAAACTTATTTCTGCCATCTATTTCTCTAGGACATTGTCACATCCCTACCAATGTGCCTGGCATATTGAAGGCATTACAAGGAATGCCAATTCTAAGACTGAATGAAGAATGACATGTTTAAAGTCGTTTTCTTTAGCCTGTGAGGTTATTTGGTGTCTTCAAAAGGATTTCATCATCAGAAATTTGGTTTTAAAGTTAATTTGTATTTTGTAACATCATCTTATCATCCTACAAGAATACACTAAACTTGCGTATTCCTGAGTATTTTTATACCTAGCTATCTCGACATTTCAAAGGTTCAGATATCAGTGGAGGCTGACTCATCTTTGCAGTTAAATGACACAGTGATACAAGGAGGAGGCTGAGTGCTGGCTGGGGAACGGCAGGCCAGTGAGCTGGTCTTAGATCCATGCTGGCTACTCACCTTGTCCTAGAGTCTAGGCCTGAGATATTGTTTGTGTGTGTGTGTGTGTGTGCGTGTGCATGCAGGTTGTGCCTGTGTGTAAAAATGTATGTAAATATGGGGTTATAAATATTATGATTAATTTGGTTAATGTAGTGGGCAGGATAATGACCCTCAAAGATTTCATGTCCTAATTGCTGACCTTGAATGTGTTCCATTATATGGCAAAGCAAGATTTTGGGAGCTGATGGAAATAGGGCTGCTAATTAGCTGACCTTAAAACAGGGAGATTTTCTTGGCTTAGCCCAACGGGCCCCAAAGTAACCACAGGGAGCCTTGAAAGTCGGAGAAGGAGACAGGAAAGGAGTCAGCATCTGAGAAGGTGTGACCACAGCAGCTGGACAGAGTTATGGACATGAGGAGGACTCTACCACTGTTGGCTGACCTTCAAGATGAAGGGGCTGCACGCCAGGGAACCAGGCAGCCTCAAGGGCACAGTTTCTCCCCCAGAGCCTCCACAGGGAAAGCAACCCTGAAGATGCCTTGGTTTTAGCCCAGTGGGAGAGTATAGGACCACTAAGCTACAGAACCATACTGTATTAAGTACATTTATATGGGCTTAAGTCACTGCCTTTGTAGTGATTAGTTCCAGCAGCCATAGAAAATTAACAAATCAATTTAGCTGAGGCAGAAACACACATTTGAAGCTTACAAACTTAGGTGCTTGATTTGTGAATACCAAACAGTTCAAGCTGACTGTGTGCATTGAAGATGACAGGGCATGTCCAGAGGCTGGAAATCTCTGGAACGGAGCTGTATTTCATGCACTCATGACCTGTAATCTTTGTTTTGGCTCTAGAGATGATAAGCCAGCCAGAATCCTCTTGTTAGGTTCATCAGAGCTTTCCCATGAATTAAAGAAAGTCAGAAGGAGGGTGAGTTAGAAATCTGAGACCCGTATCAATCATGACGTTGGTGTAAGTGGCATATTTCACTGCCTTGGACATTTGTAAAGATCAGGCCATCAGCGTCTGATGGCTGTTGGAAGTGTAAATGATGTTCTCCTTGCTTTAATCGCAGCATGGCAGTGAGTCCCTAATGGGGTGGGAGGCAGGGCAGCGCCGAAGTGCTTCCCTAATTTCATTCCCCGTCGCTCGCAATTGCAGTGAAAGGAGAGGAATCCGTCAAGGCCAGTTCCACGGGGGATTCCCCAAGCAGCTGGCTTCCAAAGTCTGATGCAACTTGGATTGTTGAAGTTTGTACACTGTGCAACACACACCAGAAATGATCTATTCTTCATTCAAGTTTTTAAAACTTCAATGCTTTTCCATTTTAGCTAAGGTTTTTATAGCAAAGTATTCTTGATTTCCTGTTTTAATTCAATGACATGTTTTAAACATGCTTAGTTAGCTTTGAACTTTGAGTGGAGCTTGCCCTGAGAATATTCTGGGAGGCCAGTTTCTGACCCTGGGCTCTATGCATATGGACAGGGAGGCCACCTGTCAGCAAAAGGTTTTGCCCTCAGCAGATGGGGGCGGATTTTGTCAGCCTGCTCTTCTGGTTGCTTAGGAACTCGGAGCATGCAGTCAAATAAACACAGCTCCTCTCCTGGCCTTGCATTCATCATTCCTGATTCTGGGACCTGGGTGGGAAAGGCTGCTTCCAAGTCATGAAACTGTCCAAACAGGCTTTCTTACAAGTCACGAGATTCTGAGAGAAAAGCAAATAAATTGTGTAATGACACACATATGTTCTCCCCTTAACATGAATCTCCATGACGAAATTTGATTCTCCCCCAGGCTGTGCTAATTAAAGAGATCTCACTGGGGATACTGGCAAATGGTACTTGTTCCCTAGACACACCGAATTTCAGAAAAACCTGGTGGCTTTCCTGATTTGAGTCAGGCCAAACCGTCTGGCTGTGACTGTGGCAGACCAGGCACTTTTCTTTAGGACCTGAGTGAAGGAGAGATGGCTGGATGCCCTGGTGGGGTTCAGGCAGGGGTGTGTGCTCAGTTTTCTGGGTCACGTTCAGTTATGGTGCCCGTGGTGCTAGGCACTGTCCCATAGCTGGAGGCAAGCCTGTCTCCTAGCTCAGAGTTTCCTGCAAGCAAGGACTCAGCGGGTGAGCAGGTATGCAAGGCAGCAATGAGCACCACTGTAGATGAGACGTCTATAGGAGGGGATGGTCAGGAGGAAGCTGGGTGGCCATTTCCTGCATGGGACAGACCAGTGGAGGTAGGTGGGCACATGTGAGGGCTGGGAGGCATCGGCTGTCTGCTCTGGCCTGTCAGATGTCCACATGATGGACATTTCAGAGCACCTGTCCTTGGTTCGTCAAAGGACAGGCAGGAGCCTTTTGTTGGCAGGTGCCATGTCTGCCCCTGGCACCCATCAAGGTATGCACAGAAATGACCAGATGCCTCTCAAACAGCTTCATGTCCTGCCTGTCTCGCCTTTCTCCACCAACTATCCCAGTGCCCATGTGATCATTCTGAAACGTGAGTCTAAATGTGTTCTCCACACCATATGACCCTCTATGGCCTCATATAACCTCGGGGTAAGACTCAAACCCTGGGACCTTCTTGGCCTGGCCTGGCCTGTCTGCTACGACCTCTCTTCCTGTCCAGTGACTCCTCCATGCTCCAGCAAGTGCACAGGAATCACCATAGTGACAATTCCAATAATGCCTGTGACAGCAATCGTTCATCTTCCTGAATGTTCCTCTGCACTCAGCTCTGGACTAGGGCTTTTTCATGCATTAGCTCATTCAAGGCTTACTTCAGCTATCTGAGGCCATTAGCATCAAGATCCCTGCTTTCCAGTGGAGGAAGTGGGCATTTAGAGAAATTGAGTCACTTTCTCAGAGTCTCGCTGCCCGCAAGAGGCCACCAGAACTTGGTCCTAGGTCCATGCGGGGAAGCCAGATTCTGTGCTTTTCACATCCCGATGCCTGTGGTTCTTAGGGCAGCAGCCTCAGCCCCACCTGGGTGTTTGTTAAGAATGTAACTTCTTGGGGGCACCTGGGTGGCTCAGTGGGTTAAGGCCTCTGCCTTTGGCTCAGGTCATGATCCCGGGGTCCTGGGATCGAGCCCCACATCGGGCTCTCTGCTCCGTGGAGAGCCTGCTTCCTCCTCTCTCTCTGCCTGCCTCTCTGCCTACTTGTGATCTCTCTGTCAAATAAATAAATAAAATGTTTAAAAAAAAAAAAAGAATGTAAATTCTTGGGCTCCAACCCAGGCCTCCTGGGTTGGAACCAGAAACTCTGGGGTAGAGCTCAGAGACTTGAGTGTTTTTAGGTCTTCCAAGAGACTCCAAGGGGAAAACTCCCACTGTCCTACACTACAGTTATGCTCACATGCCATGCCATTGTGCTGGTGTGAGCTCTGGGCCTTTGCACATGCAAAGTCAAAGATCATCCTTCAGGACTTACCTCCTGAGCCCTGGAAGTCGTCTCTGACACCCTGACCCTTGAGGGCATCCCTTTCCATGCTACCAGAGGATGCTGTGTGTAACTTCCTAATAGGACACAGCACACTGTATCCTGGGGGCTGTTTTAGAGGTTCCCACAAGATCCTACCTTCCCAGAGGACAGGAATTCGTTGTCCTTTTACTTCTTGAATATACACCTTTGATATAAATTTTTGAGCCATGACTATCAATATTAACATCAATTATTTATTGCTACAGTGGTGTTCAGTAATAAACACTGAGAACACCTCAGTGGCATAGAACAATAAGCACTGAGTTTTGCTGAGTGTCTATAGGTCAGTGGGACCATTCTGCTGACCTACACTGGGCTTACCTCAGAGGATCTGCTGAACTT